CCAATGGCCTGGCCGCATCCAAAAATTGGACAGGTAGCCTCTCTTCTTCTACAATGAACCTTCAGCCCATGCCCTACAATGTGAATGCACCAACACTATGTACTTTCTTACTACATGCTGTCGTGTCTGAATGGGATTTGAGTCTCCAGCGAACGTGGCCCTTTGAGCCTTTGAACTGTGTGGAAAATAGCCCAGTACAGGATACTTACTGCATCTGACTTCGTGGCCAGTAGTTGTTAGCAACTGAAGTCTGCCTTTGGGAAGGCTGTTAACCACCGGAGACCAAATCACTGCCGTCCCACAGCCTATCTTCGTACACTTTTTAACTTTTATATGTATTTACAGGTTGTTTTTCCAACAGTTATTTATTGTGAAATGTCATGTCTAGATTAAGGTCAACTTCTGCAGATAATTCCTCTTCTTCGCACATACCTAGAAGCTGCTTTTATTTATTAAGCCTGATGCCATTAATTTCACCCTTAAATGTCATTCAGTGATTTCCATTCATGCTTTTTTAAGCATTTCATTACTGATCAACTCAGGGACTAAATAAGTAAGCAATGAGCTTGAACATATGGGAAAAACTGACCCTTGCTGCCAAGGAGTTAAAGTATTAAAGTGCGTAAGCCATTTCCTGTAACAGTTGTCGAGCTAATTTTCAGTAAAATACTTAGTCCATGTGTTTATTATTCAGATATAAACCCACTGACTCGGCATGAAAATGACATTACACTGCTCTAATCACAGACTAATCTTTTACAATTAGTCACTATACCTCCAAACTGCAACCCTCTAACAAGACTTCTCTGAGTTCAGAAACAGTAGCTTTTGAGCAAGTTAATTCACACTGCATTGCACCACCCAGTAATAAGGGTAACATTAATAGACACTCTTGCTACACGTCTCCATGTAACTCCATAAAAATTCTTTAGAAAATAATGACTTAATGGGAAAGAATGCACTTAAATCACAGAATGAAATCCAATAAAAAAGAAAATCACTGTCATCTTCACTGCAAACCTTTTCCATACCAAAAGATAACACATTTCTGGAGCTCTTGGTGACAAACTCCCCTTCTCTCCACCCAGGGCATGACAGCCAGTCTACTACTTAAAGTATTTGGCATGAAGGACATAACAGTGCCTATAGATAAATAGTTTCTTCTATCTGATCATTTCTAGCTTATGTTCAGATTTTACATGGTTCATTAGCCCCACGTCTCATGTTGTGATTAAGTTGTAGATTGATTCCTTGTATCATGGCATTACATGCAATGCTCTTGTGGGAGTCCGAGCTGAATATACACTAATCTAAGATACCGCTTCACCATCTCTGGTTTCTACCAGTGAGAAGGCACATTCTCGGTTAGTTTTATGATGCAGGTGCCCTACGTTGCTATTTCTGGTTTTGTTGTGGAAAGCAAAGTGAGCACTGGAGAAAGTAAAATGCGTCACTCTGATTTGTTGGTGGTGGTTTTTACTATTAAAATATATAACATTAATATTAATCAGGTAAAAAGTACCTCATGCAGGTTTCACTTTTTATTATTTTACAGAAACCATGCTCCGCTGGTGGTATAATCAAAGAAGAAACAGTAAGTTAACTCATAGGATCACGAGCGTATGTTTGCTGTCAACAGAAAGACACTTAGGGACTTCAATTACTATTAGATTGCAGTCTTCATATTTACATTTAAAAGTATTCCCCTCTGTGTCCTTACACAAATTATTAGCCTATTCAAATTCAATAAAAGATAAGTGTAAGATGAAAAAACATGCATTAAGTATCTGACAGACAGTGATTAAAGAAAGGGAATTTTGAGAGATGTCACTCTGGTAATTCTCTCTGGGTGTTTGTCAGGGGGACAGTCCCTCTTAGTGCCTGGTCATTCTGTATCCGATCACTTGGTGTGTCAAGAAGAACCAGAAAGCTGCTCCTGTGGTTTCAAATGATTGTATAAGACAGAGAGATACAAAAAAGAAAGGATCTTTCTGCATAGTAATTCTGAAAAAAAAAAATAAATCGAAAAACCTTGTTGTTGATGTCTAGACACTTAGATATTCACCTGTTGCTCCCCCATTATCTTCCTGAATTTTCTAATTTGCAAGAGCAAGTTAGGGAAAAGCAACAACTAATGATGAAATGCTTTATCTGGATAAAACACCTTGTTCCAGTAAGTACCATTTTCCTCTCTCTTTAGAATGCATAGCCTTTATTCCACAAATTAATCAAATAGCTGCTGTTTTCCACTAATTCAGACTAGTCATAAAAGTATATTTAATTATTGTATAATCAGTGGTATAAGATAAATGGGTTCTACTCAGCTGCCTTTCCATGAAATCTGACTTTTCTGACACTTTAAAATGCCTACGGTGGAGTCAGAGAAAGCTATGTAACTGGTCTAAAGCAGAAAAAGCTAGACAAATGTATGAGTAGTGGCACAACTATCTTGATCCACAACGTCTTTTGTGAAAAGCAGGAAACAAATATTAACCCTGGACTACATGCAAAGCCAGATAGCAGACCCCTAGTTTAAACCCTTGTTCCTGCAAACGTCTTTTATGTTTAAGAATTCTTGCCTTAAAATACAAAAAACTGTTATAAATTAGGTAGTCATTCAACATTTCATACATCCATCCATTTAGATGTTTTAGAATATCAGTATTGTACAGTAACCTATATCCCCAAAAAGATCTCAGACACGTTAATGAATGTTAGAAACTGAAACAATTTGTATTATGGTCACAATAAAGATTCAGTACAAAAAAAAATTTTCTAATACTTAACTCCATGTGAGAGAAATTTATTTTGACCTCTTTGCAGCTGTGCTTCTTGTTCTTTAGAAGGAAAAAATAAGCAATATAGAATAATAAGTATTTTCATTTTTTAAAAAAAGTTAACAAGACTTGGGCAACTAGAACATGGGTGTGCGTCATGCTGACTAATAAAAAAGGTTATCAGCTGTCAAGATTTTGACTGGTGATGTGAAGTTCAAACCAGCATGACTTAACTTTCTAGTTCTGAACTCTGAGATGCAAAATACTCTTCAAAGGAACTTAGTAAAGAGCAGTAAAACCTTTCAGACCCCTCACCAGAAGTCTGAGAGATCTGGGAGAGCTCAGAGATGTGAAATTACAAAAAAATGCAGAAGATCTGTTTATCAGTTCAAACTGCTGTGAAGTACTAATCTGCTCTGTAAAGTGTCTTAAAAAAAAATAATCAAAAATAAAAAAGGCAGATTCTTTGCCATTAAGGGCTCATAAGTGTCATTAGGCAGCAGCTTTGCTTTGAGAACACAAACAAACGGTGGGACTTGGAGAGGAGCAGTGCCTGTCAAACAGCTCAGCATGCACCATCCAGCGCCATGCACACCATACCTGCTCTACCCGCTTGAACATCAGGGGAGCAAAGCTGTGAATCCAACTCCTCCTGTGATTTTCACAAAATGGTTTTAGACATGTACTGGGGAGCAATAAAGAGCTGTCTTTAATTCCTCCTATGTACAGGGACTGCTACTATTCCTCCTCCTATGTGAGCTACAAGAGATGAAGCAGAAGTTTTCTTTTAGTGTCCCTCCCTCTGCCTTCACTTGCAGTCTCTAAAACTTTGCTGAGACTCATGCAAATGCACAAAATGAATGTGGGAACCTAATGCAATATTACCTACTATAAGCTAACGTGAACTCTAGTTCAGGAACTCAATAAGCACTTTGAAAATTCTTCTGAAATGAAAACTTAAGACTTCCCTGACCAGAGTTTTTTTCAATTTATCAGCTTTCAGACCTTTGGATCTGAAAGCCATACTAGGTTACTCCTCATTCAGGCATAGAAAGCAGTCCAAAAAAGGCACTCCAAATCTTGTAATTTGCACATGTGGAACAGAGAGAAGAAACTGATCTTTGATCTAAATTTAATTAAACACTTTTCTCATTGACGCGTGAGCTGCTTCTTTCCTAACAGTTCATTCACTGACTAAGAAATGATTGTTTTTTCCAGTCATTATCAACTTTCACAGCACTGTTAACAAGGCTCAATATAGGAAAACATGCATTTCGGTGACCAAAACCAATAGATATGAGTGCAAAGGTACATTGGCATCAGATTTGTTAAGGAAGGAAGCAAGCTTTTTATCAGTTTTCAAAATAAAAGCACTTTCTGAGCTTTAAATTGGCATAGAAGAGCCAGTTTTGGAGGAATTATAGGGCTCTCCAGAAACGCTAAGTATGTGCAATGAAAACTTCTCTCCCAACTCCTTTCATTCAAAGCTACAAGACATTCTGTGCTCACTTCCATAGGGATTTACAGGACTACAGCAAGGAAAACTTGCTGTGAATGGTAATGGTTGCAAAAGAAGTCTCCAGTCCACAGCCTTCTTTCTGTTGGAATGGTGGTGGTGATTTTCCATAGCTCAGTCCAAATTTTGGAAGAAAAGAAGGGAGTCATGGAAGTGACAAATAGAATATGGCTTTTATATTTTGTAGGGATCCTGAGCAATCATTTAGTCAACATTCGAGGATAAAATTTGTGTGCACACCTTAAGTCCTACCTCACTACTTTGGGGAAGAAGTTTTTACTTTCTTCAAGTTGAACAAAGGGATAGACCTTTTTTCCAGACATTGTTATAAAGAAGACAACAACTCAGCATGGAAATGTTAAAGATATTGTCTTCATGGCTTAAAAATTTCAGGAATAAGTCATCTCAATTGCTTTTAGTGGGGAACCTGGGATCCTACTTACTATATGGAATTAGTGAGGTCTTCAGAAGCATCCTCTGATAGCTAAACGTTACTGTCATGTGAAAAGAGTTTTCAGTCTCTGGATTCTTGTTACCTACACTGCTCTCCTAGTCCTCTCCATGGATCAACAGATCTCCAGTACATTATCACACTAGAAAATTGAAGTTATTGAAAAGAGAGTCCGAACCCAGAGGTAAAACTCTCAAACCTATAATTTGTCCAAAACATAACTGATTAATTAATCAGAAGTCTTAAAAAAACTTACCTTTAAAATTTGGTCTGATTCTAGCATCATACCCCGATGTCCTTCCCATCAATTTGTCCAAAAAATCTGAAGGAGACAGGGTCTGTGAGGGGGATTTTCCAGATCTTGAATCATGTTCTTTACAGAAAGTCGTCCTAAATAAATTATTAGCCACCATTAGCTAATATTTAGCTTGTATTGTATTCAAGTCATGGAGAAATTATAACACTACATAAAACTGTCTCAATTCAGTGAATGTAGCAATTAATATTTTTATAGAACAATATAGTCTATTTTTCACCTGAAAACTTCCTTCTAGAAAAAAAAAAGAGCTTAAGTAGTATACATGGACACAATTTACTATTCAGAAAGAAACCTCAGCTTTAAAAAGAAATTCATTACAGCTTTAAGACTTTAGAAGATTTAATTTACTCTTCATCTTAACGTACAGAGCAATCTTATAGAGACTTTGATATTCTATTCCATATAATTTCTTCAATTACATTTATGCTGTTAAAACTATATGTTAACACTGGTTTAAGGTGGGGTGGTCTTAAACTTCCAAACAATAGCTGGCAGCACTCACCAAGTAATAGAGAAAAATATTGGTTAATGTTGGGAAGAATATAGACGCAAAAAAATGTTTTTACAGATGCTACCCAACAAAGATTTAAATCATGCTAGTGAATGTCTGATTTCTTCCTCAACATGGCAAAAAGGGTTCCAGAGTCAGTCACATCTGATCTTCGGGTTTTTTTACCATAGAACATCAAGTAAAAAAATTTATCAGTATTATTACCAGCTGGTATTTATGTGCAAGCTCTTGGAACACTTCTCTGTTTTCAGGATTTAAGAGCAAACTTCTGGTACCATATATGCATGTGAAATGCTGTGTACATAGCATATTACATATTGCAAACACATTATATATTGCAGAGGAAGAGAATTTAGGAGTTCCCCATGGTTACTCCCCAGGGAAAAAGAAACTAGAATGAAATGGTCATATTTGGTGTGTAGAGGCACAGAGTTCATCATAAAGCATTATCTTGATTCTTAAAATAACCAGTTTCATTATATCTATATTTCAATGTAACCTTTGAGCTATATTAAAAGTGATTCTATGGCTGTTTCTTCTTAACCACTCTCTGTTTATATATTTGCCCAAAGGGAACCACTCAGTTTCAGGAGTGTTTCATGGGGTTTTATTTGTGCATCTATACTCAAGTATAAACAAATTAGATATATATGTCAGCATCTGAAACGAGAAGCAAATATCAAATCCTTTATCCCTTTACAAAAGCACCAGCGTTGTTAAAAGGTAAGGCGACAGTAAATTCTCACGGTGTGATTCCCCGCGTTTTTTCAGGTTCCATTTACAGGGGGCGGTTGCTTCTTTTTGCTTCTGTCAATGACATGGTACCATTACAAAACACCTTTAATTTTTAATACATTATAGATTATATTCCCCAATTAAATACTAAAAACATTCAATTAAGGTAATAAAAACTGGAAAATTAATCCAGTGCACTTATTTGGGATGTTCCTACACAAATTAGTTCTGGTTTCATTCAGAGTTATGAGTTACGTTGTGATCCCAGACTCATGAATATAAACACTATTTCACTCTGTCACTGTATATATATCTCATTACTCATATAAACACACTTTATAAGTGGACATGTAGATACGCAGCAGCGTATAGTATAATAATGAATCTCAGCTAAAGCGGTGTTTTGGTTAATAAGACTGACCTGTTTGCTCTGTACTGCAAAAAGTCAACAACTGAAGCAAAAGCTCATGAAATATTAACAAAAATTTAGAAACAACAATCGTATGTACTGGTGCTTTAAGTGAGCACAATACTGGTCTGATCCAGGGTTTTCCCAAAATCAGAGGGCTGGTTCTCTAATTTCAAATAACTACATCTCTGACAAAACTGGTTCAATCATTTCCAAAGCTTGAAGAGAAGGGAACCAAAGCAACTTCCTAAACAATGTCTGGTGGGAGTAGAGAATTTGCATCTTGGAAGAAAAACTGAAGAAAACGTTTTTAGCTATACTGATACTCAGTGAAAAAACATGTCTTTGAATCAGACAAATGGAAAACAGATCACCCAAACTTGAGATTATTATTTTTTGTGTTTGTTACCAAGCAACGAGTCTGTGAGTGTAAAAGGGATAGCCTGTATAGCATGAACATGAAATACTCTCAAATACAGCAAACAAACTAGGTTAACATGACGTAGTATCTTTATAGTTATGATTTCCACAACCTTTTGACAAATATCATCACATAGAGTCGTATCACCTACCTGAAGTGGTTTGTCTCTAAGAAAAACGCAAACAAGGTTGTCAAAATTTTCACTAGCTGCCGGTTCATTCCTCCTGCTTTCTGTGATGATTTGGAAAATATCCCAGAAATTATTCCAGAGAGATGCAGGGAAAAAGTAAGCTGGTGCTGCCTAGATTCCCAAATTCAGCAATAATTTAATTTTCTTGACAATCGGGAAGAGAAGGTCTGGATCTCTACAAACTCGGGGTAAAAAAGAAGTGCCAGTCCTTGGAATCATGGTCAGGTCAAGCCTAGGATCATCTCCAGCAGCCAGCACAAAAGAGACAAAGGTGTAGGGTAGAGAAACACAGGTTGTTGTGGGGGGGGGGGGGGGGGGGGGGGGGGGAGAAAAGAAAAAGAAAGAAAAACAGGAAAAGAAAATAAGAAGAAACCCAACTATGCAAGGAGCATCACGCAAAAGGGAACAGCGCTGAGAGCAGTTCTGTTGTCAGTATGTTTTATTCCCTTTTTGCTTTGAAAATTAGTATTTATG